CCAACTTTTAATTGCATCTCTCACTTCCTGCACTGTTTTTCACAGGTCCTCGGGTTTGGTCCTTTACAAATAATAAATGCCACCATTTGTATCCTTCTCGATGTCCTGTCCTGAGGTCTGACATGACAAATACGGCGGCCTCACTCTCCATTAGGCTTTTGGACAGTCTTACTCAGCCTTCGCATTTCTCTTTCTGCTTCTTTCCATTGTTTCCCCTTCCTGTTCCCCCATCTTGCAAACTTGGTGTTACTGTGGATTTTCACTCTCCTCGTCAATAACAGATAAATCCATTCTTCAAACTCTCCTACCTGTTTGTCAATGGCAGCTTCTAGTTCAGGGTAACCCGCTTTGTCAAGTTGGATGCCCGGGAAGAGGTCTTCAATCAAGCTCAGAAAAAGTGGCTCATCCTCATCGATCTAAACGCATGTGCACACAAATTTGCAAAACCCAGTGAAAACATGAAATATCAGCATGTTTATCTTTTTGATGCCCTATTGTGTACTTTGTGGACTTACCAGTTTTGAAAGGTTCATGTCCCTTAGAACCCTCATGACAATGGTAGACTCTGTATCATTGGGGTTGGCTCGCTTGGCTGCTCCCAGAGTTCGCAGAACTGACAGAATGTTGCGCAGGCCAAAATCATAGTGAACCTGAACATTCATAAATATCATTTTAGTTTCATTTACATTAATGGAAACCCGTGCAACCTTGTTGTTAAGTCATGTGACAATGATACCTGCTCCAAAACTAACTCCCCATTCCTACAAGCATCACACTCTATTTTCAGCAGCCTGTGTGTCAGTAAGACTTTTTATGCATTTTTAGCTGCAGCTTGGAAATGCTCCCACACTCAATGCAAGTTCTGCCACTTTCCACTTGTTACTGCAAGGTTAAAAGAAAGATCTTCAATTTTTATACCTGCTTGGACAGTTGCTCCTCGCACAGCTTGTAAAGTGTGAAGAATTTGCGTGCAAGCTCCATGTTGTCGATGAACCCACAACTGGCCAGTTTTACCCTAATAATGATTTGACGGTCTGGAACCATCATGGCCACGGAGCGGAAGTTGATCTTCAGGTTTTCAGGAAGCTCCTGACGACCTGCATAACCTGGATTCTGATTACACGGAGAGTAACAAAAAAAAAAAAAGATATTAATGGAGTAAAACAGAAATAAAACATTTAATGATAATTAGGAGTAAATGCTACATTTCCCATTCTACTGCATTAGAAATTTAGATGACAGACTAGAATGCAACAACAATGAAACTAAATGGATGAAGTTTATACTGGAATGTAGTTCATCTTCATCACAAACGCTATCCTTCAACTTCAGCAGACAGCCTACAGACATAGCCTGTTTCACAAAGCTTGTCTATACTAATGTACACACACACACACACACACACACACACACACACACACTAACAGAGTAAAAGAGAGGAAAATGATCTCTGACCCCTCTCGCTACAGGGAGGAATTATTCCACTGTTATGTTTAATGACTTGCCTCAGGACAGCAAATGAGGCAAGAAGATAAAGCTATTTAACTATTACTCTAAGAAATAAATCACATGAAATAGCAGGCAGAGCCCAAAGTTTAATTCAAAAACTGTCTTGTAAAATATTACATGTTAGAGTTCAATTCCATTTTAGTGTTATTTGTGATTCATTTCGTTTTTCAAGATTAAAGTTTTTGCTTTAAAAAAAAGGAATCATTATGTGATAAATCTAACAGCCAAGAGTAAATATTGATGTCCATGCATGCACAGCATGTCCAGTCACCTTCTGAAACAGATACAGTTCATACACACTTCAATATGGGTGGCTCAAGAGTTGGGAGTTCGCCTTGTAATCGGAAGGTTGCTGGTTCGAGCCCCAGCTTGGACAGTCTCGGTTGTTGTGTCCTTGGGCAAGACACTTCACCTGTTGCCTACTGGGGTTCTTAGGGACTAGTAAAAGCGCTATACAAATACAGGCCAATATTCATTCTGTTAACTAAGGTGTCATTTACTGATGTTAAGAACTGCCTCCTTTATATATTTCCTCTGACCAGTCAAATAGATATTAGCAGTCTTGTTCTACTTCCATTACTAACCATGGTAAGGAAGATGCCAAACTCTGGGTTCATGTCCACATTGTCTCCATCTGTGAAGACAAAATTTTTGCGACGTTCCTTCTTGCAGGTGAGAACTATCGCGATCTGCTGGGCTGCCACAGAAAGAACTGGGAGGTCGATGCGGTTGAACTCGTCAAAACAGCCCCACGAACCAGACTGAGCCAGACCTGGTAAATCACATAAACACAGAGTTATGGTCCGTCCACTGCAAACAAATAAATTGTCTAAGATATCTGACATTACATATTGTGTGATTGTTGTTTTTTTTTTTTTTATCTGTATTGTTATGATTTATTAGCAAAAAAACCCCCACAGGTCTATAACCTGATAACTCAAACCCTTAAACTTCTTTCTGGGTATATATTTATTGTCAAGGTCCTGGGTCGGTGACCCAGTGGGTTGCGTTTTGTTGTGTTTTTGATCTTTGAGTTCATCATGGTTATCACTGTTAGTGTTTTGGTTTCTGTCTCAGTATTTCTAGCTCTCTAGTTTGTTGCTCTGTGATTTCTAGTTCTTAGGTTTTGTTCCCGTGTCCCTATGTTCAGTGTCAAGTCTGTATCTCTGTGCCTGTTGTGTGCTTCCAGTGTGTCTGGTTTTGCTTCCCCTTGTCTCGTTAGCTCTGATTTCTCCCCCAGCTGTGTTTCCCTCCTGTCTCCCATTCCCTGATTGCTCCAGTCCTGTGTTTTGCTTGCTCTGTGTCATGTCGTACGCTTACCATGCTGTCTGTTTTTTCCCCTCCGAATTCCTGAGGAAATTCTAGTTCCCAGTCCTGGTTTGTTTTCCTAGTTTGTGTTTCTTAGTTTTTAGATTCAAGTGTCCAGTTTAGTTTCGAGTTTTCTAGTTTGGGGTTTTGGTTTGTTTTTTGTGAAGTTTAATCTTTATGTAAAGCCTCCCAGCAATAAACGCTGCCTCTTTAAGTTCATTCTGTCTCATGAGTTCTGCAATTGGTACCTACTTCCTGCCTGCCACACAGTGTATCATGACACTTATAGCATGACTTTACTTAGTGATTCTCACCTTTAAATATTCTCCCCAAGCCTCTGAAGTCCATTTGGTCAGAGCAGTTGAAGACCACAACGTACTTTCCCAAACAGCGACCCATGTCTTTTATGGTCTCGGTCTTTCCTGATAACAAAAGGCAACAAACTGAAATGCAACCATTTGTATGCTGATAGAAAACCTGACAACAAATGATCTCATAAAAGAAACTATTCAAGCTAACTCAGTAATGAAGCCGTTCCCGACTGAGACAGCTGTGTTGTTTGATTCTTCATTTAAATGACCTGAGTTGTATAGAGTCTAGAAGGGTAAATTATCTATATTTAAAACAGTTAAATTCAACTACTTTAACACTTGGCAAACCTTGGAACAGCTTTTAACACATCTGTCCCAAAATATTGCATTTTTGATTCAATGTAATTTCCATAAAAAAGGATACTGTGTGAGTAATTTTCATACCTGTTCCAGCTGGACCAGCAGGTGCTCCACCCATACTCATACCAAGAGCTTGGGCTAAAGTGATGTAACACCTGTCCAATTGTAGACACACAAACATAATGACAATCTAATTTCATAAATCATGAATCATTTCATAAATTCATAAGCTAATAATATCCATACTCAAAATGACCACAAATGAACGTGAGCTCATTCTCCACAAGGTTTAAGCTTTAGAACCCCGCCCCTGAAGCTGATGGGGATTCAGCGATTTGCTCAAGGACACATCAGCAGTCAGGATGACTGACAACAGGACCTAGCCCTCTGGTCACTGGTCTCCATCTTCATTACAATGACTGACCTCGGGGTAAAAATCATGGTAAAGCTGGGATACTGACATATTTTCTCTCCTTCAGCAGATACAGATTAAATCTGACCACTCCGTAACCAGATTTACTTGTTTCATCCCAACATCTTTTTTGCCATAATTTAGGACCACTTGCACCTTTCCCTTTTTTTAACGTGATGTGGTGGCAGCGAGGAGGTAGGACAATGATAGCAAGCAAAACAAAAAAAAGACCAAATCAAATCTGAACTGAACAGAATGAAGTGGATGGGCGTTCAGGCAGAGAAAGATAGCATGAGAAAATGATGGAAAATCAGAGCTGTCTTGGTGCCTCTAGCCATAAGGCCAGCATGCCACTTTTTTGGAGAGCTGCAGTCTGATGTTAGCTGGTAACTCCCTCCCTAGTGCTGTCCTCTCACATCTCCTCCTTGTCTCTCCTCATCTTTTTTTCCCTCCTTGTCTCTTCTCATATTTTACCCTCTGTGTCTGTTACTAAGACACTACTTGTTGTTGGACTGCTGTCTCCCTCACTCTTTCTGATCTTCTTTCCTTTTCTTTCTGTCATTCATATCGCCTGTTAGTTACAGATGTGATGATCGCTGTGTAAGACTGCTTCATCCTGCTTCATCCGGCTTCATCCTGCTTTCTAATTTCTCATCCTCACAGTTCCCGAGTTGCCTTTTTATCTTTGCTTTATAAATCCAGTCATTAGTCAACCACAGAAAGTTTAATCCATGAAACTTGACATTACAAAAAAACAATCATGGTCAAGTTTTCAGCATAAATCTAAAGTGGGTTCCTAAAATAACTGATGCATTATGCAGCATGCATTTCTGACTTAGTTACAAAGGCAGGGTCACGTTTTCTGTATAGTCACTCCAAGGTTACACTGTCTTTGTTTAAACTGCAAAAAAGAAAAGTTATATTGCTGTTTTGGTCTGTTGTTTTCCTTTATTTTCTTATTAGTGTGTGTGCATGTGACTTTTGCCATTATGATACATTTTACAGACATATGTCTGCTTTACCTGTCCGTCAAAGGTGTAATGACAAGCCTTTCGGTACACCCCAAGAATTCATTCTGGTAGACAAAGCCCACATCTGTAATGTTGATGATCATCTTGTCTGAGTCCTCATTGAAGTAGAAACGGCACTGCTTCAGCCATTCAAAGTCACTGGAGCTTTTGACATGCAACCGGCACTAGGTGGAGAAAGGGTAGCGATAAGAGACAGGGAAAGAGGGAAAGGGAGGGCAGAAGGAGACAAGGGGATGGAAACAGAAGTGAAGGGAGGGCACCACTCAGAAGATTATTTGAAAAGAGAGATGAAAGCCGGATAAAAGAGGGGAAGAAAGGTGGAAGGGCAGGATGTGTGAGGAGGGATTTCGGTGACAGGAGGGTAACATTAAAAGGGTGGAAAGAAACGAGAAGCAAGAAAGTGGAGGATGAAAGCAGAGGTCATGATGTGAAATGGGAAGAAAGGAAGGAAAGGGATAGGGGAGAGTGAGAGGAAGGAAGAGAAAAGTCCAGCGAGTTAAAATGATGCAAATGGGAAAAAGTACAAAATGAATTAGAAAAGTAATGAATAGAAGAGATTAAAAGCAGAATATGTGTGAGAAAAAATACAGTGGGGGTAGAAAAGTAGCAGTGTGATATATTATTGGAGAGGAAATGAAGCAAAAATGTGTTTAGAAACAAACACAACAAAGGAACATGAGCAGGACAAATCAATGGTATGAGGTAAATAAATACAAATGATTTTAGAAAGAACTAAAAAAACACATTCAAATAAAGTTTCTTCAAACTGCTTCTATTAACCTTGGGGTTCAGCGACATGTTTATTATGCCTTAAGTGGAGATTCAAACACAGTCGTGACTTTAAATATTACTTGACTGCCATTAAAACCCCTCTGACTACGTTCGACAGAATTTACTCGCTGCAGTAAACAACATTTTGTATTCTGACATGGCAGCCCTCGGGAGTCTGAATATCAAACACAGTTTACAGAGTGGTTGCTATTTTGAGCCGGAGATTCTAATCTTGAACAGAAATTGCAAAGCGTTCATGTGCACGGTTCGGAGTCAGTCTAACTGATCCCAGCTCGGATGTCTCTGGCCTCTTTTTACCGAATGATCAACATGCTCACCAGTTCATCAAATATGTCCCTCTGATGGACATGAATAGTGATGAGGGTCTCATACTTGGTCCTCTCCACAGCCTCCAAGTCTCTTGTGGTCATGTCAATCAGGGTGTTAAGGAGATCCAGGAAGAACTGGTTGGTTTTGGACATGATGCGGCGATCGTATCGGGCATTGGTCAGAGCTTCTTCTGAGTCCCTTGTCCAAATCATCTGAATACCCAGTAACCCCACCTACATTAATGTGCAAAAAACAAAACACATCATAATGGTCAAATGTACCGATGACCTTAGAAATCTAACTATTGTTTTGATGAAGGAATACTATAGCAGTTTAGTACCACACCCCAAGATTTACAGAGAAAATAACAGCCCATGTTTCCAGGTGGTGAACAGTCTGGACTGATGAAAGGCAACTAAAAACCCAGAGTATCCTTCTACAAAGTATGCGATTTAGCTGAAATATGTAGGTTGTTCCCTGAAAAAGACAGGGACATGACTGGATTGGAGCATATTTTGCTCTAAAACATTTAGATACTTTTCAGCAATGATGGTATCTATCCAGATGTGGAAGCTGCCAGTTTCATAGGCACTAATGCACCCCCATACCATGAGAGAGAGCAGAAAAAGACAGATTGCGTGAGGATGTGGTCTCCATGTTGAATAACAAGTTTTCCACTTTGGCTCAGTCAGTGTTAAATGACCTCTGGTCCAGAGAATATAACAGTGATTCTGGATCATGTTCACACATGGCTTTTTCTTTGCAGCATAGAG